AATATATATATATATATTCCTATTGATGAATGGGATATTGTTAATGTAGGCTCAACCGTAACGAAGTTTGTAATACGAAACGCTTATTTTTAAGGGGGGGTTCGCTACGTGGTAGTCTCCGCGTATCCAGGAACGTTTATTTGCCTGCATAGATATACATGTATACGCGTGGACTATCCAGAAGCGGGCCCAAGCACAGTACTGGATAAAGTACGGTTCTGGGTACAATATGACTCATTATGTACTTTCTACAAATCGATGCGGAAGAAATGACCTACAATGTCTGAAGACATAATGAAACGAAAGTAAGACCTGTCACGTGCCCAAGAAAAGTTAACTTGGATGTGTCTGCCTCCTTGCGTAGGTTTGCATCTTCGTCCTGTAAGTTTGTCTGCCGCTTGCTGAAAAACAAAATGCCATACGCACTGCGTCATGCGCAGATCTTTCCATATAAGGGCAAATACAAGATCACTTCTTCAGACTAATCGCGAACATCTCTCACATTCATGCATCCCTGATAGGTACAGGCTGCTCAAACGTTGTTTGTCAGTACAGTGCAAATGTACGAGCAAGCCCAGCCGGTCCGGTCCCCTGTTGTGGGGCCCGGCAACAGTCAAACCAGCGGACCACAGGCCCAAGCACCTTCTGTCCACCAGAGTGGTCTGCACGGGCGTGCCCGCCATGGCAACGTCGCTTATCACAAGCGGCAGAAAGGGCTGGAAACGTCTTCAGATACGTACGAAGATGCCGAGACCGTAAATCTGTCGCCGCCGTTTCACGAGGCGCGGCTGCAGCGGGCTGGGTTACGGGGAGAACCGCCCATGGAGGGGGCTGATGGCAGGAACATCAGGCGTCATGTCAATTCACCTGACGCAATGGACACATCTACAGGTAGCCAAAGTTATAGCTTGTTTTTTTGTCTTTGTTTCTGTATAAGTTATATTGCAACCTAAATATATTAAATTATACATGTATTTGAGTATGTTGTCACCCTTTCGTATTCTTAAAAATAAAACTTATGTACGCTCAGTGCTGGAACAATCAATTATGTACAGTATTTGCTCCACTAAAATATGACATTCTTGACGACCCTGGACATGTAATTATGTCATCATGTTGTGACAAATTTAAGAATAGCCCGCAATATGTTTCAGAACACACGTATCCGAGTGAAACAAACGGCCACCGTGGTCTCCGTGACTTTGTTCGCCACTACCGCGGCTGCATTCTCGGCGTTACTGCTGTGGTGGCAACCTTGGTCATCTTGGGACTCATCGTAACGGTGTTCAATGTTAAAAAGGTATTTGTCTTCTTCAGCTACCGGGTGTTATTTTGCATGTTGATTGACTTAGTCACAGTATACTAACAAGTATTCATAGGCGACAATTCTCCGAGAAGTTTTATATTTAGCAGATTGGGAACAGTATAGTGTATGTAAACAGTGTGTAAGCACTTCACATCTCACAATAAACATCACGCTCGTGGCGGACGCACCCCCCCCCCATCCTTGAGGTAATAAACACCCGGCCGGGAGCTTGTACAAATACAGGCTCGAAAATTTGCCCCATACATAAACAATGCGAGACGCGCGTCTGTTTCTTATTGCCGGTCCACCAAACGCCTGCTATATGGGATGAGCCAGACTCACTATTCAAAAACATAGGCTATACCAATTTGCCTCAAAAATGTACGGGTACATTTGAAATATTACATTGACCGCGAAAGCTGCTACGGTAAAAATAACTACACGCGTGCATCATCAAGGGCGTGCCTGGGGACGACGTATTAAGTAACATTTATGTGGTTTTATTTTATGTAATTTTATATGCCGATTGAACAAAGGCAACCCTGTGATCTGGCTGCGAACACGGAAAACCACCTCCTGCCGCAATCATGCATATCTTGAGCTAATTTGCGCAATCAATGAGAAAATAATTACATGTATAACTACGAAAGGAAGGAATATATTAGATAAATATTTTAATATTATGCGAATGAAGGCAATATCTACAAAAATGCTAAAATACCAAAGTCAGTGGTTAATGGCAGGATTTTCATACTTGCGACGTTAAGTAAAGTTTAATATTATCATAAGTAAATCATGCAAATCTGGGCACAATTTGTATAATTTATCAGAGCAGGATAAATCAACCTAATTTGGCAATGTCAGACATCCAGCCTTTGGGCAACTTGCAAAATCTAGTTATAGGAAAATCGACTGATTTAGTTAACCCTCAACAGTACACCTTCCCGGACTGATTAATCTGTACACCTGGGGTCCGCGCGGACCCCAAGACAGTTTTTTGCTAATTTTTAGAAATTATCAACATGCTACCGGCTCAATTGTTTTGCAAACTGATGTAGGAACCTCTGTGTCCACATTACATACAAAAATCATACATTTTGATCTTTTTCTATTTTTTGGTGAAGAAAAGAAGACAAGAAGAAATACCCGATTTTTGAACCCATTTCCGACTGAAGGGGCTTTTGAGGCCCAACTTTGATCTCAGATAGCGGCTAAACGGCTTGCGCTAGAAGTATCAAATTTGGAGACCTTTCCTAAAATGTCTCTGGAAAAAAGTTCATATAAGTTTAATACTAGTAAGTTGATGTTTTTTTCTGTTGCCATGGCAACGGGTTTCTAGCAGGCAGTTTTTTTTTTAAATAGAAGTAATTTTGGTTTAAACATAAAAATTTTCTGAGTTTTATATTAAATTACACTTCTTTTCCAACATTAATAACATCTTACATAATTAAATATAAGTTAAATCATTTAATATGCATAGAATATGCTAATTTGATGACGTCATTGGTCAAAATCCAATATGGCGGACTATATTATTAGCTCTGACGTCATATGACGTCATAATTGCCCGAAAGTTATTCAAATTTAATTCTATTACTACACCATTCTTTGAAAACTTGGTAGACATACGATGAGTGCATAAAAACATATAAAAACGGAAATAAGGTAATATATAAGAACGCCAGTGTATCCATTATGATCAAAAGCCGGCTGGGGTCCGCGCGGACCCCAAAAGAAAATCATATATAATTTTTTTTATAAAAGGTAAAAACGGAGTTTTCTGCACTTTATTGAGAGACAACTTTGTGGGTGACAATTACCTAAAATTTTAGAAAAAAATCTTTAGAAACAAAAAAGATATTACAGAATATATAGTGCTGGGGTCCGCGCGGACCCCAGGTGTACTGTTTAGGGTTAATGCAAATTCAATTCACCCCACACAAAAGCAAAAACCTTTTGTTTTTGGTTAAACAAACATTTAGTAAATAACTTGGCAACCTTGGACACCGATTCCACCGGTAGAAATAGACTGAGGTCGCGATCAGGCTCCTAGGAATGTGTTGTGATCTCTGCCGGCAGATTTTGTGATTCTGCTAGACTGCAATGTCTTCTTCGACATATTCGTCAATTTCAATATTCTACTTCGGTATCCTAATATTTTAGAACCTTTTTATTTGGTTCAAAAACAAAAACAATCAGAGGGAAATTTTACAAGAAAACTATGACAGATCAGAACAAATCCTGACACAATTCTAGTAACAATTCTTTATTCATGGTCTTTTCAAGTACGCTACAAGAAGTAACAACTCATAAATGTACGTAAGAAAACGGGCTGCAGGTGAACCATGCGGGGAGGTTAGGCACACTCCCCCTTGATCCATATCGCGAAGCCACACGACCGCAGAACTCCTGCCAGCCAACATAAAAGGTAACAAAAACTTGGAAGGATAGATCAGAGACAAAAAGGGAATACTTACCTAATCTCTGATACATTAGCCACAGGGTATCTTTGAACAAAAAAGATTTTCATTTTATCCAAAATAATGCGGGACTTCAAGGTTCTCCATGCAAATGAATATTATTTATAGTACATTCAGAAAATACAGATATTTTTTCCAGATAATAATTATGCAAATACATCGACAAAACCATGACACCAATACAAGTACAAGCCACTCCACCAATTTCTCCGTTAAACGAAGAAAAGGACAAAACGGCTCAAACCTTACAACCGTGTCAGGTAACATAATTTCAAAATCATGGTTATAATAATGTTGCATAACAAAGCTGCTGACAAAACAAACTTAATTTGTCTTAAATAATAACTTGATTTTATTATTTTGCCAAAAATGTTGATAAAAACATGTTTATAATCACAGTAATCAGGGATTTTAATAAACTGCATAAATTATGTCAATGAGCATTGGCAGTGTGGCTTAGTCTAGATTTTCAGCTTTCCATATCTCGGTTCAAACTTGACCAATTTTAATTTTGTTTCCACAAAGGGGAAGCCTATAAAATGGAGATCGCACCACAGTAGTCACGTTTTATTCCATGGTGTAGTTTCCATCGGCGTGGCGCTTTACATGATGTAAACAAAGCCGGCCGTACGTAAGCACTCATACTAGTAGTAGTAGGAGGGATGGGGAGGCCTCGTCATCTCGTCTTTTGACATAAATGCATGTATCTCGGTTCAAACTTTATTTGAATTGGTTTCCACAAAAAATAAGAGGAGATTCAATCACAGTAGTCACCTTTTATTCCATGCATTAGTTTTCTATCGGAGTGTGGATAAACATGATGTAAACAACTTTGTAAGGGTGGGAGGGGGGCATGTCGTCTGCTAGCCATGTTGGTAAATTATGGAACTAAACATAGCATAGTGAATGCACTCAGGGTTCGAAATACATTTTTTTGCATCCCTGAACTGGTGCATGTAACATTGAAAATTACCTATTCCATAGAAATTGTACCTGCACCACAGAAGTATGGATCCTACTAAAACTGTTAAGAAACCAATATGATACTGATGGTAAAAAAGTAATAATAAGGTTACCGGTAATGACATGTGAACTAGTCTATTATGTCTAAAGTTTATAATTCATCTATGTACATGACTATATATAATAACTTTACACATATTTGTGTAAATATATTGCAGAGACTAATCAAAATATCTGACACTGATTTTGTTGCCATCCACCAGTTCGTAAAAACTGTAAGCCTCTTCATAAAAATTTGCTGCGAAAATGGCAGCTTTTGCAAAAGCACTTGTTTTCACTGTGGTATCTTTTAGGATATGTCCCAGCTGTCCGACACTGTCGACGCCTTGAAACGCAACATTGACGGAATATCGCAGCTGTCCGACACTGTCGACGCCTTGAAACGCGACATGGACAACGAGCGGAACCGGACAGCTGCCCTGATGAAGTGTTTTGGCGATCTTTTTAGGTAAACAATCTTTTTAGCCCAATTGACTTTGGAGAAGAAAAGTAAAAATAATTTCTGTACCAGAATTTAATAATTCCCATGCCATGAGGTTGGGGTGATCCTCGGCCCAGGATGTGCGGGCGGTCGCTCAGTCGAGTGGGGTTCACAGAAGACAATTTCCCCGGGCAAGGATATGTGGGCGATTGCCCGAGCTAAGAGTTAATGGCGATTTTCCGGGCAAAGGGTTAAGGGAAATAGTGCCGACCGGGACTTGGGGGCTAGAAATTGAGGGCGATTGGCCTGGCCATATAAATTGGGGCTGTACGAGCAACCTCCATGGAGGAGCTCTGCAGAGTTCTTTTGTGTTTTTTTGTTGTCATGAAATTATGCGGAGAGGACAAAAATGACTCAGTAGCTTTAAAACGGTCTGGTAACCGGTCTACAAATAACGTAAATGTATTTATCGGTGTAAATGTCAATGGTCGCATGGCACAGGTCAAAATGAAATGGTGGTTTAATTTGTTTCTTGATATGTATAATGTATTCTATGATTAACTGTTGTTGTTGTTGTCTCTATTCTTCCGCTCATCACAGTCGGATGCTAGTCTCATGTGCATTTCCTCTTCCTTCTAGTGTGCGTTTGTTCTCTCTGTGCTGATCTCTTGTTGCTTTTTTCCATTGGCTAGGCTTGACAGTGGTGCCTCTTCTTTTCTTCTTCTAATTGTTCTTTTTCCCTGGTTTCAACTTGCATATTTACATATTTACACGTCTTCCTGCCACAGTCTCTGTGTTCTTCCTCTGTCACAGCTGTACTCATCTTCTCAACACAGTCTCTGTGGCACTCTTCTTCCTCTGTTCCATCTGTACTCGTCTTCCTGCCACCGTCTCTGTGTTCTTCCTCTGTCACAGCTGTACTCATCTTCTCAACACAGTCTCTGTGGCTCTCTTCCTCTGTTCCATCTGTACTCGTCTTCCTGCCACAGTCTCTGTGTTCTCCCTCTGTCATAGCTGTACTCATCTTCTCAACACAGTCTCTGTGGCACTCTTCTCCCTCTGTCACAGCTGCACTCTTCTTCCTGACACAGTCTCTGTGGCTCTCTTCTCCCTCTGTCACAGCTGTACTCGTCTTCCTGCCAAAGTCTCTGTGTTCTCCCTCTCACGTGATTAACAATATAATCACGCTCACGTGATTAACAATATAACTTGCTACCTTGTTCAAATTGAAATTTATCTCCTTTAACCTTGACAATATAATGTATTCCTAATGACCACAGGCAGTACTGATAATGCTGCAGCATTAAGGAAACGCACTATATCAAAACAAAACAAATTTTACTTATTTCATGAGGGCCTGCATGCCCTTTTTCGTAAGGCTTAATCATTTAGTCTTCGTAGGCAGCCTCCCAAAAAATCAATGTTATTCGTAATACTACATTAGCCACAAGGCGTAAATTCGTATTCAGCTCTGAAACGTTTAATTTAAATCAAAATATAATTCGTAATCGTCGGGTAAAATTTTGCGTAATTCGTAATCACTAACCACCGTGCCCCCCAATGCAGGCCCTTTGTCAGGACTTGTTGGCGGAAGTTCCCCGAATGAAGGCAGAGTTGAGGTGTTCCATGACGGACAATGGGGGACGGTCTGTGACGATAATTGGGGGATGAATGACGCTCACGTGGTCTGCCGTCAGCTGGGATATCCCTCTGCAACAGAAGCTCGTGGAAAAGCAGCATTCGGGCAGGGGTCTGGAATGATCTGGCTGGACAATGTAGCCTGTGGTGGTTCTGAGAAGACTATTACTGACTGTGGGCATAAAGGATGGGGGTCAAAGGACTGTAACCACAGCGAAGATGCAGGAGTTGTTTGTTAATGTGGCATATGCTGTAATTAACGTGTATCTATTCAAATGTATTTTTTAACCTTTTCAAACTCCATCAAAGAGGCCAAGTTCCTGGTCCCGTCGGGATGTCTCTGTAGGTCTGTTTGAAAGTGAAAAAATATGTCAAGATGATCATGCTATTTAGTTGGTCATTAAAGATTGAACAACCACGGTGATTGTAAACTAGACTAAGAGTGACAATCTGTTTAACTGAAGTAGACCTACTGGTGATATATTTACAATGGTCCGGAGAGTTGACGATGAAAAGCCGCTATCAAATATGCGTAGCTTGCCCTTAGAATGTGGAGTTCCATAGTCTTTCCGTACCTCTGTATAGAACTTTGATTCTCAGTAGCAACTATTGAAGTGGTGCGTCGGTGAAGGTTAGACATCGAGGTAATAAGATACGCCAAAACAGTTACTCGAGCAACTAGTAACATCCAATACCTTTCGTCAGTGTCACCGGAGAGTTGTCAGAAAAACATGTTGATAAGATTGATTGATAAATCAATAATTTCGTACGTACAGACCTGTTTTTCTGACAACTCTTCGTTGGCGCTGACGAAAGATAGTGGGTGTTACCTTAAACGTCCAAACCGTTTTTACATTGAATACATGAATGAAGAAATTTATTGTACTTTTATGTCCTTACAAGATAAGTACAGGTCATGAATAAACAGGGAAAAAGAATATAAGAAAAAGAATATAATAAGTAACTTAAACTATACATAGTGTGATCTACTATTTACAGGTTCAACTTTTTTTAGCTTCTTGAGGCAGTTGTAGATGTATGAACATATGGAGCTAGTGATACAAGTTTCATTAGGAATGCGGTCATGTCTGCCTTTTTCTATGTGGAGTTTGTTAATCTAAATATATTACGGTTTGTATGTTGATTCGTTCTAACTTTGCTAATTAAAAGTGAAAGAAATATATGCCATGTATACAGCTCTTAGTTGCATGCAAAGTATAGATGTAATAACACTATGTATCTATTCATCATTTTGTTGGCAAACAGAATTTCACCAATGATAATGATGCTCACACAACAGGTTGCTGGCAGGCATATTTAACAAAATTCATTGATTTAAGTTTAAGAAGTGAAATTTCCAATTTTTGTTGTTGTAAAATTGTACTTCTTTTCAAGATGTCACGTCAGTCTTTGCTGATTGGTAAAAATAAAGCCTGCACTGTTGGTCTTTTAATCGTCTCACTGCTGTAAACTCTGTCAACATTTTAACACGTAGGCAACACTATCTTAATTTCATGGTTTTCAGAACCTAACGGGTTTTGTTTCTGAGTTGAAAAAGAACGAATGTCTTTCAGGATATAAGTCACATTTAAATGCCCATAGTTTACCAAAAATTCCATGTTTTCTTGGTGTGGTGATGATATTGTTGTCTCTCATGTTTCTTCTTCTTCTCCTGCCATTTTGTAAAATGGATTCAACCATGGATGACCTAACATTTGGCATGGAGGTAGAGTGGGCAACTATCCCAATAAAGTCTTTCCATTTATAACAGGCCTTTTAAATTGTTTATTTTTTTTATGTTAGGCAAAAATATTCATTTAGGAATCTGGAGCCCTGATACTAAAACCAAATGACCTGAAATTTGGAATGGAGATACGTTGGACACATGTCTACAGAACGCTTTTCAAGCTTTTGACATACACTACTTTAAAATTATGTAAAATAGGGATTTTTTGTAATTTTGGACGAAAATTTAATTTTTGACTCCTGTGCCCGGGCGCTCTAATATTGATGAATGAGCTCATGAAATTCGGTATGTGGATACCTTAAATACATACCCGAAGAATGTCAACCACGCCTTTGACAAACACTACTTTAAAATGTGTAAAATATTTTTTTTGTTTTGTTTTTTCCGGACCAGAAGTGAACATTTTTGTTCCTGTGCCCTAATATTAAAACGAAATTACCTGAAAAATCTTTGGCTACAATCCCACAGAACGTCATTCACGCATTTGTCGTGTGTCACATTAAAATAATTTTGCTATTTTTGACCAAAAATGTCAATTTCTGGCTCCTATGCGCTAATACGAAAACCGAATGACTTGAAATTCAGCATAAGGGTAGCTTGGCACCAAATGCTTAGACTATAGTGTTCACCAATCAGATACCGACCTTTAAAACATTTTCCTTTACCTTTCTTTCAGTAAAAAAGGGATTTCAGCTTCAAAATCCAAATTCCCAACTGACAGTTCTAAATAGAGCACTGGTTTTACATGTTCCAACAGCACAATTAATGTGTTGGAAGATTCCATAGTTGCATGGGAGTATAGACTATTGGAATACTTTAAATTTTGGACAGGGGTGATTTAGATGCAGTGAATTAAGGGGATAGGCCCATTTCCGGTACGGGGGACGTGGTGAAGCCATCTGCTGCATTTGCTCTCGAGCAAATGTCGGACTTCCTAGCTAATATAAAATTATTGCCAGATATATTTTAGGGAACATCACCAAATTTAATGGTGTTAGCGCAGGGGCTATCTGAGATGAAGATTTGCGCGGGCGTCACCCCCCCCCCCCGACCTGAATATAATTAAAGCTCATTTCAGGTGTCATCTAACAGTGTCCACACTTTTAACTATGGCTTTAACAACTTTTAATACATTTGCACTTAAGCTTATCAACATTCATTTTGATACATCATTTAATATCTTAACTGCCAATGTCTACCACATAAAGGTTAATCACATAAAACCTCTTGATCACGGTGGCTTGTTTATACTTCCTTGTACATTTATTTTAGTGAGTCATTCTATCAAAAACTCAGCATTTAGAACATTATCCACGTTAACATATTAACATCTTCGTGCGATTCAATATCATCTGAGTCAATAGTTTTGTTATTCTTATGAGACTTGTTTTGCTTTTGCGTAGTTTTTTTAGTATGTTTAGAAGAATGTTATTCCTACATACTAGTATAGTCCCCTATTTCAGAAAACAGAAATGCATATATGTTGCGAATTCATAATGCAGTTTGTTACATTTAGCTTTCGATAGATTGACAGCCTCATTCTACAGTACCATATATTGCACCAAGAAGAGAGAGGAAGCTGAAAAAAATGGTATAAACAAGAAGACGTCTGTTTTTAGCTTAGTACGGCCACAGTAAGTAATTAT